GTGTGTGTGTGATACTGTGTGTGTGGTGCTGTGTGTGTGTGTGTGTGTGTGGTGCCTGTGTGTGTGTGGTGCTGTGTGTGTTTGGTGCTGTGTGTGTGTGTGTGTGGTGCTGTGTGTGTGTGTGTGTGGTGTGTGTGTTGTGTGTGTTGGTGCTGTGTGTGTGTTTGGGCTGTGTGTGTGTGTGGTGCTGGTGTGTGTGTGTGTGTGTGTGTGTGTGGTGGCTGTGTGTGTGTGTGTGGTGCTGTGTGTGTGTTTGGTGCTGTGTGTGTGTGTGGTGCTGTGTGTGTGTGTGTGTGTGGTGCTGTGTGTGTGTTTGGTGCTGTGTGTGTGTGTGGTGCTCTGTGTGTGTGTGTGTGTGTGTGTGTGTGTGTGTGGTGCTGTGTGTGTGGTGCTGTGTGTGTGTGTGGTGCTGTGTGTGTGTGTGTGCTGTGTGTGTGTGTGTGGTGCTGTGTGTGTGTTTGGTGCTGTGTGTGTGTGTGTGTGTGTGGTGCTGTGTGTGTGGTGCTGTGTGTGTGTGTGTGTGTGTGGTGCTGTGTGTGTGTGTGGTGCTGTGTGTGTGTGTGTTGGGGCTGTGTGTGTTGGTGCTGTGTGTGTGTGTGTGTGTGTGGTGCTGTGTGTGTGTGTGGTGCTGTGTGTGTGTGGTGCTGTGTGTGTGTGTGTGTGTGGTGCTGTGTGTGTGGTGCTGTGTGTGTGTGGTGCTGTGTGTGTGTTTGGTGCTGTGTGTGTGTGTGGTGCTGTGTGTGTGTGTGTGTGTGTGTGTGTGTGTGGTGCTGTGTGGCGGTGTGTGTGGTGCTGTGTGTGGTGTGTGTGGTGCTGTGTGTTGTTGGTGTGGTGTGTGTGTGGTGTGTGTGTGTGTGTGTGTGTGTGTGGTGGTGTGTGTGTGTGTGTGTGGTGGTGTGTGGTGTGGTGTGTGTGTGGTGTGTGTGTGTGTGTGTGTGTGTGTGGTGCTGTGTGTGTGTGTGGTGCTGTGTGTGTGTGTGCGCGCTGTGTGTGTGTGTGTGTGCGCGTGCTGTGTGTGTGTTTGGTGCTGTGTGTGTGTGTGTGGTGCTGTGTGTGTGTGTGTGTGTGGTGCTGTGTGTGTGTGTGGTGCTGTGTGTGTGTGTGTGTGTGGTGCTGTGTGTGTGTGTGTGGTTGTGTGTGTGTGTGTGTGTGTGGTGCTGTGTGTGTGTGTGGTGCTGTGTGTGTGTGTGGTGCTGTGTGTGTGTGTGTGGTGCTGTGTGTGTGTGTGGTGCTGTGTGTGTGTGGTGCTGTGTGTGTGTGTGTGTGTGGTGCTGTGTGTGTGGTGCTGTGTGTGTGTGTGTGTGGTGCTGTGTGTGTGTGTGGTGCTGTGTGTGTGTGTGTGTGTGTGTGTGGTGTGTGTGTGTGTGTGTGTGTGTGTGTGTGTGTGGTGCTGTGTGTGTGTGTGTGTGGTGCTGTGTGTGTGTGTGTGTGTGTGTGTGTGTGTGTGTGTGTGTGTGTGTGTGTGTGTGTGTGTGTGTGTGTGTGTGTGGTGTGTGTGTGGTGTGTGTGTGTGTGTGTGGTGTGTGTGTGTGTGTGTGTGTGTGGGGTGTGTGTGTGTGTGGTGCTGTGTGTGTGTGTGGCTGTGTGTGTGTGTGGTAGTGTGTGTGTGTGTGGTGCTGTGTGTGTGTGTGTGTGTGTGGTGCTGTGTGTGTGTGTGTGGTGCTGTGTGTGTGTGGTGTGGGGTGTGTGTGTGTGTGTGTGTGTGTGGTGCTGTGTGTGTGTGTGTGGTGCTGTGTGTGTGTGTGGTGCTGTGTGTGTGTGTGGTGCTGTGTGTGTGTGTGGTGCTGTGTGTGTGTGTGGTGCTGTGTGTGGTGGTGTGTGTGGTGCTGTGTGTGTGTGTGGTGCTGTGTGTGTGTGTGTGTGTGGTGCTGTGTGTGTGTGTGTGTGTGTGTGGTGCTGTGTGTGTGTGTGTGTTTGGTGCTGTGTGTGTGTGTGTGGTTGGTGCTGTGTGTGTGTGTGTAGTTGGTGCTGTGTGTGTGTGTGGTTGGTGCTGTGTGTGTGGTGGTGTGTGTGTGGTGCTGTGTGTGTGTGTGGTGCTGTGTGTGTGTGTGTGTGGGTGTGTGTGTGTGTGTGTGGTGCTGTGTGTGTGTGTGGTGCTGTGTGTGTGTGTGTGTGGTGCTGTGTGTGTGTGTGGTGCTGTGTGTGTGTGTGTGTGTGGTGCTGTGTGTGTGTGTGTGGTGCTGTGTGTGTGTGTGGTGCTGTGTGTGTGTTTGGTGCTGTGTGTGTGTGGTGTTTGCGTGTGTGTGTGGTGTGTGTGTGTGTGTGTGTGTGTGTGTGTGGTGCTGTGTGTGTGTGTGTGTGTAGTTGGTGCTGTGTGTGTGGTTGGTGCTGTGTGTGTGTAGTTGGTGCTGTGTGTGTGTGGTGGGTGCTGTGTGTGTGTGTGTGTGTGTGGTGTGTGTGGTGTGTGTGTGTGTGGTGCTGTGTGTGTGTTGTGTGGTGGCTGTGTGTGTGTGTGTGTGGTGCTGTGTGTGTGTGTGTGTGTGGTGCTGTGTGTGTGTGTGTGTGTGGTGTGTGTGTGTGTGTGTGTGTGTGTGTGTGTGTGGTGCTGTGTGTGTGTGTGTGGTGCTGTGTGTGTGTGTTGTGTGGTGTGTGTGTGGTGTGTGTGTTGATGTGTGTGTTTGTGGTGTGTGTGTGTGTGTGTGTGTGGTGCTGTGTGTGTGTGTGTGGTGCTGTGTGTGTGTGTGTGTGTGGTGCTGTGTGTGTGTGTGTGTGGTGCTGTGTGTGTGTGTGTGTGTGGTGCTGTGTGTGTGTGTGTTGGTGCTGTGTGTGTGTGTGTGGTGCTGTGTGTGTGTGTGTGTGGTGTGTGTGTGTGTGGTGTGTGTGGTGTGTGTGTGTGGGTGCTGTGTGTGTGTGTGTGTGGTGCTGTGTGTGTGTGTGGTGGTGTGTGTGTGGTGTGTGTGTGTGTGTGTGTGTGTGTGGTGCTGTGTGTGTGTGTGTGTGTGGTGCTGTGTGTGTGGCGGGTGTCACATTACGTACATCGTCTGATCGGCTGCAGGTAAAAAAAAGGCTGTGAGTGAGAGAGAGAATCTATTGTGTTGTTGGTCCTCAGAGTGAGTGAGTGAGTGGGTGAGTGACTCCTCTCTGTCACACAGTGAGTGTGTGTGTGTGAGTGTGACTTGGCCTTCACTGCACACACACCCCACACCACACACACACCACACACACACACACACCCCACACCACACACACACACACACACACCACACACACACACTCACACACCAGTACACGGGCAACACTCGACACATCCCCATTTATACTGCAGTTGCCTCTCTGCCAAAAGCCGCCGCCTGAGCTGCTCAGCGCTCCGACTGCACCGTATAACTTTGACTGTTAACTTTTATTAATATCATTGTCATTGTTATTATTATTATTGTTATTATCATTTTCCCACCACCCTCAGTCGGGCTCGTGAGAACAGTTGCCATGCAGTGGGCTCTGGCTGGGACCTGCTGCCCCACTGAGGCGTGAGAGCGACCAGCCTGCCCTGCCCGCCTGCCCTCCTTGCCCTGCCCGCCCTGCCCGCCCTCCTTGCCCTGCCTGCCCTCCTTGCCCTGCCTGCCTGCCCTCCTTGCCCTGCCCGCCCTCCTTGCCCTGCCTGCCCTCCTTGCCCTGCCTGCCTGCCCTCCTTGCCCTGCCCGCCCTCCTTGCCCTGCCCGCCCTGCCCTCCCCGCCCTGCCTGCCCGCCCTCCTTGCCCTGCCTGCCCTCCTTGCCCTGCCTGCCTGCCCTCCTTGCCCTGCCCGCCCTCCTTGCCCTGCCCGCCTGCCCTCCCCGCCCTGCCTGCCTGCCCTCCTTGCCCTGCCTGCCCTCCCTCCTTGCCCTGCCTGCCCTCCCTCCTTGCCCTGCCTGCCCTCCCTCCTTGCCCTGCCTGCCTCCCTCCCTCCCTCCTTGCCCTGCCTGCCCTCCCTCCTTGCCCTGCCTGCCCTCCCTCCTTGCCCCGCCTGCCCTCCCTCTCTCCTTGCCCTGCCCTCCCTCCCTCCCTCTTTGCCCTGCCCTCCCTCCCTCCCTCCCTCCTTGCCCCGCCTGCCCTCCCTCCCCGCCTGTCCTGCCAGGAGAGCAGAGACCACCGGTTTGGGATTGCTGCCGGGGTTTGCGGGGCTGTGTGTGGCTTTTTGTTTCCCCCTCAAAAAAGAAGTTGCTTTAAAGAGACTTTCTCAGTTTGCAGTTGGTTTTGCAGCCGCCACCGCCCCCCCCACCGCCCCCCCCCACCCCCACCCCCCCCCCACCGCCCCCCCCCCGCTCGGCTTCTTACACAGCGGAGGATCGCGGAGCAGAGACACCGACATCGTCACCAGACCTGCCTTTGCTTTGCGAGCTGAGCCGAGCCGAGCCGGGCTGAGCCGAGCCGAGCCGAGCCGAGCCGGGCTGACAGGGCTGACAGGGCTGACCCGGGCTGACAGGGCTGACCCGGGCTGACAGGGCTGACAGGGCTGACAGGGCTGACCCGGGCTGACAGGGCTGACCCGGGCTGACAGGGCTGACAGGGCTGATCCGGGCTGACAGGGCTGACAGGGCTGACCCGGGCTGACAGGGCTGACCCGGGCTGACAGGGCTGACCCGGGCTGACAGGGCTGACCCGGGCTGACAGGGCTGACAGGGCTGACAGGGCTGACCCGGGCTGACAGGGCTGACAGGGCTGACCCGGGCTGACAGGGCTGACCCGGGCTGACAGGGCTGACCCGGGCTGACAGGGCTGACCCGGGCTGACAGGGCTGACCCGGGCTGACAGGGCTGACCCGGGCTGACAGGGCTGACAGGGCTGACCCGGGCTGACAGGGCTGAGCTGCTGGAGGAATGCAAAAGGATTTTCTCCCCGAACAGAAGGCGCTGCGAACAACAGCAACTGGACGTGGCCACAGGAGCAACACCTCTTTGTTGAGAGCCTTGTGATCCGCTGTCCCTCTGCAAACGGACACACACACACTATACACACATTACACACACACACACACACACACTATACACACATTACACACACACACCCTTATACACACACACACACACATTACACACACACACACACACGGCCGACAGCAGTGGTATCGGGGACACCTTCATGAGTTTGAACGTGCAGAGAGCGAGTCCGATCCCCATCCTCCTCAATGGGAGGTGGAGGCAGAAGCGAGTGGAGAGCGAGGAACCTGTCACCAAGTGCCCGCGGCTCAGCGACTCCCCGCCGGACAGCACCGACCTGCCCTCCCCGGGCTCCCCCGGCCCCACCCCGGGCAGCAGCCCCTTCAGCTCACAGGGCGCCGCCAGGATCGGCAACTACATCCTCCTGCAAAGCCTGGAGAGGCACAACGTCTTCAGGGCGATCAGCAGCCACACAGGGCAGGAATACGTGTGCAAGGTAAGGGATTACTATCATCATCATCATCATCATCATCATCAGAATGATCCTTGCATTTGATACAACGCCTTATCACGTCGTCCGGACCTATGTTCTGAAAGCCCTCTCCAGGATATGCTGCGCCATGGGTTGACCTGCGTGTTTTGTGGACGAAAATAAGCTCCGCAAGTGAGCAGGTCATGGCACGGGAGGGAGCGTGTAACGCGGCTCGCGGTACAGGGCGAGCACAGTGTCAAGGCAATGCGACTTAGCAGATGTTTGCGTAAGGCGCACAGTGCAGCGCGTCTGGTCCGGTTAGATTTGGTGGTATGTTTAATGCACCGGGGATTACATTAAGAGGGCAAAGGCTCCTTTATGCTTCTCGCCCTCTCTCGCTGCAACTTCTGCGACGTGATTTCCAGACTAGTGGATGGATGCAGCTCTTGAGAGTTTTTGGATGGGTTTAAACGTGGATTGCACGTGTGGAGCTGCCACCTAGAGTTCACTATGTGCTGGCAGCTCAGTCCATGAACCAGACTTCACTTTTACACTCTGGGACTGAGAATGGTTGTCACTGTAGTCCTCAGATCCATTAACAAACTGTCATGTGCTTATGTGTTCCTCTATTTAATTAGACGAGGTCAACAGAAATAACAATAAGTGCTTTTGCTTTAATCTTTAATAGATGCTCTTTGAACGAAGTACAGTACTTCCATTTTATTTTTATTGCTCTTGATCTTTTTGGGGGCTCACATTTGGCTGCCACGTTCGCCTATAAAATGCACAGTCACTACACTTAAACAGTAAATCAGTAACAGTAAAATAAAACAGGCAGGGCTTTCAGACGTTTGGACAATGTGACATGACAATGGTTCAAATGCTATAATTATTACACGGTTACAGCATATTGTGAAATGTTCACAAGCCCTTGGTGATGCACCATGTAATTGGCAGCTTTTTATTTTTATGCTCAGAAGTTAAAGCATTTGTGAACTCCTTTTTGGATTTCCAGCTGGATGACTGGAACTGGATGACTAAAGTGATTAACTAAAGTGCGTGCCCGTACCAGAGGCAGTTGCTTGCATGCATAGCTTTTGATTGATGTCCACCTCAGCTGGAGAAGTTTAGTTAAAAAAAATCGCCCATGTGTGTGTGTGTATGTATGTATATATGAATGTATGCATGCATGCATGCATGCTTGTATGTATGTATGCTTATATGTATGCTTGACACAAGCTCATTTTGTCTGTACAGGTTTTTGACATCAAGAGCTATCGAGATGAAATCGGACCATACCTGCAGCTTCCAGCCCACAAAAACATCACTGGGATCGAAGAGATAATCTTGGGAGAGAAAAAGTGTTATGTTTTCTTGGAGAAGGGCCATGGGGACATGCACTTGTACATGAGAAGCTGCAAACGGCTGGGAGAGGAGGAGGCAGCACAGCTCTTTGAACAGATCGTTTCAGCCGTGGCACATTGTCACGATTCAGGCATTGTCCTCAGAGACCTCAAACTCAGAAAATTTGTCTTCTCGGATGAGCAGAGGTACGTTTATACAAAGGCTCTTGAGTTTCATTCAACAAATAATTCTAAATCCAATATCCTGTCTCCACCTTCCAAAACAAACGATTTGGGAAAATCAAAATATTTTGATAACATATCAAAATAAATGAAAAAGATTGCATTTCTGAGGTTGGGAATTCCTTTTTTAGGATAATCAAACAGATAAGTGGTCTTATTTGACCACAGTATGACTTACCATCTCATTAGGTGCAATTGGCTGCTGCATTTCACCCACAAAATATACAGTCAATTCAATTAACAGTATATTCTGCAAAATGCTTTGAGACGTCTTGAAAACGTGATAAGGCGCTATATCAAATGCAAGGATTATTGTTATATTATTATTAAAGGTACTGCAGTGTAGCTAAAGTATGAAAGAAATAAAAATTCTTAAAACAAAAGCCCCCAAATCTCACATTTAAATATTTGAAATTGTTTCTATTTCATAGCCAAAGAATCTTACTATTGACTTGCTTTGATAAATTAAATAAAAATATTCTTTGCATGAAATGACATTAGCCAAATATGAACTGTCCAATGAAGTGCATTTGAGTGCAAGAGCCTGTTATCAGCCTTCCTATTTGCAGCATTTTTAAATATAGTCAGGCTTATGACTGATGTGATAATTTAAGTGCAATAATTTTACTCATTATAAATTAATTGATGCTTTTGAATAACTACAATCGCCCGACGAAATTAATGACAACCATAATAATACATTTTAAGTATAAAAGTTGTAATTTAATATAGTAATAAGCAGTTACATTTACACAATTGAAAGGGATTATTTATTTGTAACACATTCGGCAACATTAAACAATAATGATAATCTTTGCATTTGATATACCTCAAGGTGCTTAACAGGATTTACTGTAAAGTGTAGTGACTATATTTTTTAGGATGCATTGCCATCACCTTATTGCCATTAAATCAATGCAGAATGACACATCTTAAGTGTCCAATGGATTATTATTAATAATATATAGGCCTAATTTCAAACTATTGTAAACTATTATATCTATATAATTATAAGAGCTTTCAGGATCCTCACAATGAAGTTTTGTTATTTTGTAATGAGTTGAAGGCACAGTAAATTCATCCATTACATGATGTTCCTATGTGTGGAATCCAATTATTCACGGTGAATGAATGGGAAGACACTCCTTTGCCAATGGAAATACATAGTACGATGCCTGTTAATTCTTCACAACAAGCTTGCATTGTAAATGAGCAAAGCATATTCCTTAAGAGTTACCAGAATTTACAATCTGGATATTTTACAGATTTACTGAAATATTGCATTCAGTTTTGCAGTGGCATCATCTTTTTGAAAAAATAAAAGTGCGTTAAATCTTAATAACTGTAATAAACTGATTTGATTAGCTATGCATTGTGCGTTTGTTAAAAATGCTTACGCAGCTCTATAGCAGCGGAAATGCTTACAAAATTTGTTCCCCATTAAATGTTGTATTTCTAGCACTTGTGTTTTCATTGAAGTTTTGCTTGTTAGATCCATAGCTGTCACTGAACAATTTCTGCACCAGATTTAATTTAGTAAGTTGTGAACTGTAAATATACATTTATTACACTCCAGACCTTTGCTTAACCAATTGTTAATATTGTTGTTTGTTATCTCTGGAGTAAAAATAGTTCTGCAGTTTGGGGCTTGGGTTTCGTGTGCACACAAACTTGCCTTTGTGGTATAATTCTTGTATAAAGTGAGTTGGATTAGGCGTGAAATGTCTTAAATGTATTAAGTGTGAGGCAACAAAAAAAAGTCACAGCTGCATTTATTTCACAAGTCCAATAAACATTCAAAATAAAAATGAAAACACAAAAACGTTTTAGGCAACAGAAGGAAATGTTGCAATATTGTTGGATGACATGCTAACTAGAAAAATTTCAGTTGGAAGTGAAATTTGATTTTTGCTGCCTTTGCTAGTTTTGCATAGACCTTCATCATGTGCTACAGATTTGGCAACATGGGATGGTGTTGCAATTAATGCTGGGTAAGGTACTCTCACACTGGTAAAGCAGGTGCTGAGTGATTCAGTGTCGTAAGAGACCATAATACACACAGCAGGCTGCATGAGTCATCTTTTCCATTTACAAAACAGAGCTAAGGGCTCTGCCCTTTGCAAAACTGTAGGAGTTCAGACACAGGACACGTCCCTGGTAGCATCATTGATGTATACTATTCAAAAATACAACATATAAATAGCTTCAAAATACTAAATATAGGATCAAGCCAGTCTCAGTATGCTTCTATTTGCACAAATTCAATCTCTTAAATATTTCACATGAATGAAAAGAGGTTTCCCTTAATGTCAGTTTAGTCAACAGTTTATAATACTACAAGCGCCTGTTTCAAACAAACTGAAATGGCATTGCAGTATAATTAATGTTCAGACATTGAAAGGAGTTGCAAACCTTTAGAATTGCATTTCAAGACTTGTGCTTCTTGGAACAAAACTATTTTTTTAGAAACTGAACAGAAGTAAGACTTGGGAAAACTGGTCTTATGATATGTGCTGAGTAAAACATATATGTTTTTTACTCCAGTATCCTGCAATATTTTAAATAATTTGTATCTTTTTACATTGCTTATCCTATACACTCATACGTTCATATGTGTGTGTGGCGGTAAGACTGCAAAATATACAGCAAAGGGAATAGATTAAGATTCTTGGGCAGCTCTTCTTCCAATAACAATTTGGTTTCACGCTGATGTTATTTTTCTTTGCGATTCCCACAGGAGGAGGCTGAGGCTGGAGAGCTTGGTGGATGCTCATATCCTGAAGGGAAAGGATGATTCCCTGTCTGATAAGCATGGATGTCCGGCTTACGTGAGCCCAGAGATCCTGAACACGAGTGGATGTTATTCCGGGAAAGCAGCCGATGTCTGGAGCCTGGGAGTCATGCTTTACACTCTGCTCGTGGGACGTTACCCATTTCACGATTCCGACCCCAGCGCACTGTTTAGTAAAATCCGCCGAGGACAGTTCTGCATTCCCGACAGCATCTCTCCCAAAGCCAAGTGTCTCATACGCAGCCTACTGAGGCGTGACCCTGCGGAGAGATTGACAGCCGGGGAGATCCTGTTGCATCCCTGGTTCCGAGCTGCCTCGGAGCAGGTATCAGTGGATCAGGAGGACTTGAGCTCCGATCAGACAGTCCCTGAGTTCGACTGCGACCAGCAGGACGCTTCCTCTTTTTTCTGTTGAGATTTGCAAAAATTGAAGATTGGATAGATTGGACAGTACCCGATCACCCCAACGTTTCTTCCTGAGCAGAGGTTGGGCGATGCATGTGCATAAACCTACAGACCCACCTGTCTGAAACAACAGGCCAGGGATTATTTGATGAAGTCAGCGTTTGAACATTAAATGTTCAAGGTTATTGAGGAACCTGAATCCAGTACTTTGTTCCATTATTTCCCACTCCAGACAAGTTTAGACTGCTCAGTGATGTTTGGTGTGGTTAAAGACTGAACTTGAGCATAAATCTTATCACTCCTGAAATAATCCTCCCACCTCCTCGAATAGTATATTGATTTAAATTTACTAAAAATGTACAAAACAAATTACTTCAATTTGTTAAAAAATAAATAATGTGGAAGTGGGTAACAAGCGGTTTCAAATCTTAATTGCTATTAATACCATGGTTGCAGTAAGATTTTATACTGCACTTTACCTCAAATATTTCCCCTATTATACAGTGTATTTGGTAACAGATCTGTAGACTGTTACTAGTGGGGATCTGATAAAATCCTGAAACTGGCCAAGAGAAACTGTCATGTCAATAAACTCCCCCACAACTTCCCATTGGCAGTGGTAGAACGCGCCAATTCTACCTGATGTTGCCCCTTTGGTGTTGCTTTAAACTGGTCAAACAAACACTGAGTTCAAGGAGTGTAGTTATCTGGGTCCACAGCTCACAGTAAACTGCCCATCCACCGTGAATGGCACGATTTGCCAATGCTTTCGATTGGGAAAACAAATCATGTCAAAATACATAGTGAAACCCTGATCAAATAAGATACGGAAGATGTTCTCAGTGAAATGTTCACTCCCAAACAATTTGTGTGGCTATAATTTTGTCAACTTCCCACCCCTCCCCTCCCTTCCTGTCACATGATGCTGAGGAACAACAAAACCGATAAGCTGACAGCTTTTAAATGATGGCAAAGCTCAATAATAGTAGAAAAGAAGACTATATTTTGAAGAGTAAAGTAGGCTTAAGGAAGTGTTCCCAGGTATAAATCACACTCAGGGTTCGGATATTATTCATAAACTGCTTGAGCAGTTTAACACAGTTCCAACCATCTGTTAGCCTTCGTAGAAAAAGGGCAGGCCTGTGTAATGTATGTGTTCACACACGTGTAAACTGGCCACCAATATGGTCAGGACCTGAATTTGTTACACCAGGAAAATCTTGTTTGCAATTTTTGAGGTGCCAAGACACTGAGAGAATAATCAAAGAAACCAACAGAACATAAAATTGTTTTTTTTTTAAAAATCTAAAATGGGAGAAGTTTTAACAATCAATTCTAAAAAAAATCAACTTTTTATTTTTTAAAAAATATACAAAGGCAACGTTTCTAAAAGTGGCCAAATAGAAAGCAACAGCATTGCATCGTTTACTACCACTGCTGATCTTACCAAGCAATTCAGGTTTAGCACTCAGGGTGATGTCAATACCATGGATGCTGATATGATTTATGCTTTGTAGGTTGTTGCGATAACTTTGCTGTGTCCCCATTTTCCCCGCAAGACTTCAAGGGAACATTAATTTCAAATGTGCTAAAAAATGCAGCTAGCCATACAATCACAGAACGAGTATAACCCCTTGGGGGGGACAGCATGGATTTTAAATTATTGAAAAGCACTGATACAGTTCATGCACTTGTTACCTGATGGCCACTCTACACCTTCAGTAAATTGGAGTTGTATCACATTTATTTCTTCTTCTTGTCAAATGTCACACGTTACTTGATTTATATATGTTACAGACGCACTTGATCCTCAGTTGAAAGGCGACCATTAATCTTATTTTTGCTACATTTCCTTTATTGCATTTGTTGCATTAATGTAATAAAGACTGACATAAAATATAGACATCAGTTAATAATCACATGGAGAAATCATGCCCACCAACTGCAGAGTGAAACCAAAGCAAGAAATAACAATGGGAAGATTAGATCCAAGTTAGATGTTGCATTTTTGTTAACTATTGTGAATGTTATGTTTATACCTCATGTACAGTGTACATGTAAGCAATGTTTGTCTTTTCCTGTTGTATTCCGTCAGAAAATTGTGCTGGTGTGTAAAGAAAAAATAGAAATGTGAATTATTACAAGCAATACTATAGTCTGAGGAAAATCATGAGTTTTGAGGTCCATAAAACAACGAGCTATTTCTGTTGTACTGATGTTCTCATGGTTAAGCATACAGTATCTGTGATACAAAATTTAACGAAAGAGACTGCTGGCAAAGTTGAAAATATACTGGCAGCAATGTCCTGCTGAAGAATATGAAACACTATTTCAGAAATGTAAATATGTGAATATGTACAGCTGTAGATGAACTTGCAGCAATAAAGGCAAAACTAGCCAAATGCTAAATGAGGTTTTTCATGCGCGCAACAGAAGAGAACCCTAGAAACTTCCATCATAGAAGAAGGCTCATCGGCACATCCTTTCAGTCCCATTAACCTGCCTTTTCCCCATATCCCTGTAGTTTACTCCTTTGCAGATACTTAACTTTCCTTTTGAAAGCTAATAAGCATTCTGCCTCAATCACTGCTCCCAGCACGGCATTCTTTATCCTAACGACTCTGCATGAAAAAATCCCCCTAAACTTCCAGTTTGCTTATTTACTAACCATCTTAAATTGATGTCCTCTCATCACTGACTCACCGATTACGTCCCAGGATGTCCATAAAACTAAAATTAACTTCTTGGGAAGTTGACATTTCATTCTCCAAACTGGTTGCACAGATCTGCCATTGTCTAATACAGTACATCATTGTGCTGTTTTTCAGTTGTTTGAATATTGCTTGATTTATGGCTCAAATTATGAATATTTCTTCAATCAAGAAAATTTATTTTGTGGTCCTACGTTAAGGGTGTTAAATAAATGCAAGTTGTTGCTGCTAGAATGCCAATACAGAGCAGCTCTCCGACCAGAGGTATCAGTCTTTGTTCCAATGCTCTCTTCTTTTGCTGTCATCATCTTTTTTTTGCTCTCAACATCTGGTATTTGAAAAGCAAACAGTCAGCATCTTCTCATTCTGGGCGCTGTCCGACCTCTCTCTTACTGCCTTAGCAATCGCACTTTATCCTTCTCGCCCCAGACAATATGAATACTAAGTTGCGTTACAAAGTCCACATAATCATTGTTCTAGCTTCAAAGATTGCTGAGATAATGTTGTCGATGCACCTAGGTGTGTTGTTCGTACTGTTATTTCCTTCCTCTGTAGACTTCAAACAGGATATATAAATTAGAACATCTAAATCATGCAGTAGACAAGGTCAGAAATTGTGTCTCTTCTGCTCACTTGGAGCGTTATTTTCTTTAAAGGTTGTTAATACTAACAGTGCAGCAGAAGTATTGATCTGGAATTAAGCCAAGTGTTACATCTGGAGCTATCGCTGAGGTGCAACAAGTAATATGGTTCAAGCCTATGTCAATTTAACTCAGTTGGTGTGTCAGCCCGGCTGAGTTGGTGATATCAATCTGGCTTAGTTGGAAATTCTCTTCTGAGTCAGGAGGTTATGGATTAAGCCCCATGTTGGTTCTTTGAATTCATAGTCTCCAATGCAGTGCTGGAGGAGTGTTGCATTCTGCTTGTTCAGGTGGACACTAATGATCTTATGGCAGCCAATTTGAAGACTCACTGAAGGACACGATCTTTTAACAGTACAGCACACCACCAGCATTGCATTGGAACGTCAGCCGAGACAACGGGTGCCAAACGTATAACCCGTGGGCTGGAGGCCTGCGAGGTGATATTTGGTGGCACTGCCCATTCATTTGAAATGATGACAAATTACCATTGAAAACCTGGTGCATTGTAACCAGAAAGGTTTTGAAATCAGAATTGTACCAAACGCATAAGGCTAAATTCTCTCTGCTGTGTACACTGGGAACTGATCTGAATGGAGCTCTTCTTAACAGGTGATTGCAATGAGCAACTCCTGAGGTTGGCCTGGACGTGTGTCCGTCGGCCTGTGGGAACTGCTCTGGTGCTCGCTACCTTTGGAACTAAGTTCAGCGTTACTCATACCTGCTTAGTGGCAGGTCACGCTATTGAAAACCTTCTATTTAGAATATTGTGCTCCCACCCCTCACTGCAGAAGCAGACCTTATGTTTAGAGCTATGTGAGTGCATGTGTGCACACGAGTGTATGAGTGTACATGTGTGTATTTCTATAAAACTATTTCTGGAGCTCCTTCTTACACAATTATTTGGATTAGAATTGTATTAAATTTAAAATAAGTCACCAGAATTTAGTTTGAGCTGTCATGCAATTGAAAGGTGCAGGAGGAACACAGACAAGGCAACACACCTGATTTCCAATGCAACTGCTGCAGTGATAAAAGCTTATAACAAACAATGGCACTATGACACAATGGTGTGAGAGAAGAATGTCAAGTACCTAGACATATGGCACAAAAATAGACTTAACATTATTTATTGAGTCTGAGCATTAGCCTGCAAATCTTTATTGATGATTAGGAATTGTGCAGTGGGGGTAATGTTTCATGCAAATTGATATATTTGAGTATATATGCACACAATCACTCTAGACAATTTCAGGTACAGTATTATGTATAACTTGTTTTACGGGGTGACCCACCAAGTGAACAGTGTTAACTTAAATGCCCCTTGTGGTCAGATGAGTTGACATCCCTGGTCCAGACAGTTGAGTTCAAAACCCCAATGTGGGACCTGAACCTACAACTATCCAAAACCAACTGAGCCAGGCAGTTACTCAAGCGTCTATTGAAGCCAATACTGTAGCAATTGGGATAAATGGATAAATATTTAACAGGAGGAATACGAAAGGGTACAATGAAAGTCTGGGGAATTACGATAAGACAAGTCAGCTCCATTGGGAGGAGCTAGGACTTTCATATGCCTTGCAATAATTTATTATTCTATTCAAGCGTGTAAGACTATCACATGATGTACTTGTTTCTCCTTGATATAAAAGCACAATGTTACATTTCAACAAAATGACATGATTGACAGGCTTGTTTGTCATCACCTAAATTAGAGGCTGATGTAGGAAGAAAAGAGTTTATCTAACAAAGAATCAAGTCACCGGTAGAATGAAGAAAAGAAGGCTTTGCCAACAGCTCGTAAGGAAGTACCATTTGCCAGCATCTCTGTAGCTTAGAGTAAATGAAACGGATGTTTTTAGTGACAGATGAACAATGCGGTTCTGAACACACTTGAATCCATTGACCTTTAGGTTTCCAGAAGTAATGCTGGAAAGCATCTTGTGGATTGCACAACTCATAGAACAGCAGCAAAGTTGCTGGAGCTAAAAGCAAGAAAATAGTATGGTTAAAAATAAAGTAGAAAAGACTCAAAGGCATAATAAAGGATATGGTATGCAAGGGAAATATTAACCAACGTGATGTTTTAGAAGTGTGGATGATAAGTAAGTTGTGGTAAGTTGGAACAGTGTGCTTTACATCTTTCTTGTTCAAAATGAATCATAGAAACATAGAATCGTACAGCACAAAAAGAGACCATTCGGCCCATCGACTTTGTGCCGGCTCTTTGAATAGTGCAATGTAATGTCAATCCCACTCCCCAGCCCTTTCCCCATAACCCTGCAAACCCATCCTCCTCAAATACCCGTCCACCGCGTTTTTAAAAGTAGTTATCGAATCGGCCTCGACCATCCTTTCAGGCAATGCGTTCCAGATACGAACAATTCGTTGCGTGAAAAAATGTCTGCTCCCCTCCCCTTTGCTTCTTTTAGATACTATTTTGAATCTGTGACCTCGAGTCACCGACACACCCACCAGTGGAAACAGTTTTTCCCTTTCTAACCTATCAAATCCCCTCATGATTTTGAAGACCTCTATTAGGTCTCCTCGTAACCTTCTCTGCTCCAATGAGAATAATCTCAGCCTCTCCAGCCTTTCCTCATAATCAAGGTCCCTCATTCCTGGTACCATCCTCGTAAATCTCCTCTGCACCCTTTCCAATGCCTTAACATCCTTCCTATAGTGTGGTGCCCAGAACTGGGCGAAGTATTCTAACTGAGGCCTAACCAGTGTTTTATATAGGTTAATCATAATCTCCTGACTCTTGTACTCTATGCCCCTATTTATAAAGCCTAGTATCCCATATGCCCTTTTTACAGCTTTATCTACCTGTCCTGCCACCTTCAAGGATTCATTTACCTGAACCCCCAGGTCTCTCTGTTCTTTTACCCCCCTTAAGATTGTATTACCAGCCTATATTGCCTCCCCTCATTCTTTCTACCAAAATGCATTACCTCACATTTCTCCACATTGAAATTCATCTGCTATATGTCTGCCCATTTTTCCATTCTGTCTATGTCTTCCTGCAGTTGGCTACTATTCTTCTCACTGTTGACCACCCTACCTAACTTTGTGTCGTCCGCAAACTTGGAAATGGTGCTTGCTATACCCAAGTCCAGATCATTTATGTATATTAAGAAGAGTAGTGGTCCTAACACCGATCACTGGGGGACGCCACTCTATACTTCCCTCCAGTCAGAAAGGCAGCCGTTCACCACCACTCTCTGCTTTCTGTCTCCCAGCCAGTTCTGGATCCATGCTGCCACTGTCCCTTTAATACCATGGGCTTCTATCTTTCTTGCAAGTCTTTCATGTGGCACTTTGTCAAATGCTTTTGAAAGTCCATATAAACTACATCAACTGCACTACCTTCATCCACCCTCTCCATTACCGCATCGAAAAATTCTATTAGATTTGTCAGACAAGATTTGCCTTTAACAAATCCATGTTGGCTGTCCCTAATTAACCCATATTCTTCTAAGTGAAGATTTATTCTGTCCCGGATTATAGTCTCCAGGAGTTTCCCCACTACTGATGTTAGGCTGACTGGCCTGTAGTTCCCAGGTTTGTCCTTCTGTCCCTTTTTGTACAGGGGAGTCACATTGGCCACTCTCGAGTCCTCTGGCACCACTCCTGTGTCCAACGAAGATTGAAAAATTGTAGCCAAAGCCTCCGCAATTTGTACCCTTGCCTCCCATAGTAACCTTGGTTGCATCCCGTCTGGACCGGGCGACTCATCTACCTTGAGCGCAGTCAACCTTTACAGTACTTTCTCTCTATTTATACTTATCCTATCCATTTCCTCTACCTTCTCATCCGATATTGCGGCATTTGGTGCATCCACTTCTTTTGTGAAGACAGATGCAAAGTACTCATTCAGTACATCAGCCATGCACTCTGCCTCCACAATAAGGTTTCCCCCATGGTCCTTAATTGGCTCCACCCTACCTTTGACTAGCCTTTTTTTCTTGAAGTGGAGCCCTGTAGCTCAGTGGTTAGAGCACTCGCTTTGCAAGCGAGAGACCTGAGTTCAATTCTAGGCAGGGCGAA